TTATTATTATTATGATGATTATGATTATGATGATTATTATTATTCAAAGATCTGCATTCCAAAAAGCTTGACGTGTTGGGAAACTCAAAATATTTTGACGTCAAATTTTTCAAACTAGGTTATGAGCAGATAGAACTTTGTAAATCTAGGGTAGTGAATTGTGTGTCCGTTAGGCCATCAAAGAGTTAAACCTTATCTGGTCAACTCAAGGTACACCAGCAAGCTCTGTGCTTTCTGAACTCATGGAGGAAGAGGAACCCGACCCTATGCTGAAGACCTACAGCGTTTTCCAACTGCGCTACAAGGAAAATGTGGAATTCATGGAGGTATCTATCTTTTATTCCCCACCCTTCTCTCTCTCTCTCTCTCTCTCTCTCTCTCTCTCCATGTTTTCATAAATCAGTAGACCCGGATCAGTTTGATAGTTAGTATTCATGTACTTCTTACAAACTTGTTTTTGGATGTCTGCTTACTTCTTTGTTTATGAGAAATAACTCCTGATGCAAACGCCCCAATGAGTGCCATGTCTAAAACGTGTTTTTCTTTTCCATTTCTCAGAGCAAAGAAAAAACAGACAAAATGGTCACAAAGGTGAGGTCTGACTTACAAAATGAAGTGTCGTTTCCAGAGAGAGAATATTATGGAACCTTAAGTTTACTACCTAATGAATTTACTCTTTCATTCGTGTTATCTTTACAAAACATATGAAAACTAATTAGAATTTTAAAGAGTACCCGTACTTTTTACATTTGTTATGAGCGAGAGGAGACAAGAAAGGGAAATGATAGAATACGGAACAGTTAGACATCGACAGGTAACTAGAAATACGGAAATCAAGCCATTGTAAGAAATCGATTGACTCATGCACATGCAATAGAGATTAAGATGCATAAAATGATAAGTATTGTATTAGTAGATGGACGGCTAGATACACGATATTTTATACGTACACCCACTCTCGCCGATCCCCCTCCTCCCCTTTTTCACTTTTTCAGTCTCTCTCTCTTTCTCTCTCTTTCTCTCTCTCTCTCTCTCTCTCTCTCT